CGATTTCGCCAAATCTGGTGCTAGAATTCGTCAAATCTGGTGCTCGAATTCGGCAAATCTGGTGCTCGAATTCGTCAAATCTGGTGCTCGAATTCGTCAAATCACCCCACCATGACCTTTGACAGTGGTGGACAAGCAAGACAAGCATTCACCATCTTATATCATTTGCAAGGCACACACACACATACACACCTTACAGAAGGGCACTGGGTATGGGGCAGGGGATGGGTGAAGTGAGGTATGATTCTGATCATGGTGAGATCTAAATTTTCAATCTGGGTCAACCCCAGCAATTCATCGACCAAAATGTCCCAAAACCAAGAGCCATTTCCAGCAATTCGCTGGTGCTCGTTTTCATGAACACACTCAATAAAAATCCCTTGTTGAACTGTTACTGGGACTCAGCCCCATCTAAGCTATACTACCTTATAGATGTTCCCAGAATGAAACAGTGTCGTTCATATGATGCCCTTGGGGTTGCTCCTTATATAAGGTGAACTGAAACACAACCACCAGTGGAGCAGAAAACAAAGAGTGGGAAAAGCATACAAAGCCGGAAAAGCAAGCATAAAGCAACACTAACTCAAAGATTGAAAACCGACTTATACCAAAAGTGAAAGCAACCAAAACCATAGAAAGAAAAAGCCACAGGTAGTCAATGCGCCACTAAAAAATACAAGAAGAAGGAAAGTAAAGGAGAAAATCACAAACCAAGCGCAAAGAGAGCAGGAAGAGAATATATCCCAAAACACACATTCACAAAGAAGCAATGAAAAGCAAGGAAGAGCAAAACAAGCATAGACAAACAAATTAGGCAAGAAAAGCGGGAGCAACCACAGAAAAGCAATGGGAAGCAAGGAAATGCAAGAAAAGCAGAACAGGCAAGAGGTCATAGAGAAGCAAGGGAAAGAGAAGAAAAGCAATAAGAAGCAGATCCAAACAAAACAAATCCCCAAACTCAACAAAGAACACATCACCCGCCATTTGGAAATACACTTGCCTGGAGGAAGTACATGCAAGTAAACTATATAGACCAAAACACATACCCCTGGTACCCAACACCGTCTTTGAGTTCTCCACAGTCTCCCAATCGGCCCGAGCCACCCACTCCAAAGCGTCGGATCACCCCCCCCCCCCCTCTCCTCCGCTCCGCGCGCCCTCGGGTCGGGGCCGCGTCATGCGGTCGCCTTGTTCTGCTTCTCCGCGGCCTTGAAGGTCGCCGTGCGCTCGGCCTGATCCACGGTGTCCAGCCAGGCGTCGGTCACCTTCTTCTCCTCGTCCTGGGCGCGGACGAAGGGAGCGGACGCGGACCGTTGGGTGTTTTCGTTGAATGGCCAACGGGGGTTGGTGTGCATCCACCCTAGGGCTCCAGTCGTACCTTCTGAGAATGGTGGGACTGGGGTGGGTGCCAGGAGGGTCCAATACCTTCTGAGGATGTAATTACTTGGAGCCCTAGGGTCCATGACCAAAAATTCGCTTGCAAACCATGTGCCGTTTGAATGACTTCGAACTACAACAGTTTCAGCTTCCTTTGTTTGCATTCTGCACTACCTGGATTGCCCTGCAGGAAGTCTTTCCAGGTGACAACGCCCAGAAATGATGGTAAGTTGGTGGTCCCCAAAAACTAGCTGGTTGAAGCGGATTCCCTACGCCGCTTTCAAGCGGAGGGCGAATGCCCCGAACCATCTCCATAACAAGCTGAACACGCACTTAACCCACCTTGTTGAGCACATAGAAGCCACTCTCATCGAAGTGGCCCTCGCGCATCTCGCGGCGCATGTTGAAGGGCTCCAATCGGATGCCATCATCAATGCCTCAGACGGTTCCCATCTATTAGAGATAGGGAACATGTGGAAAGATTTGGAAGCCCCAATGGAACTTTTTGTGTGTAACTGTTTCCATATCTTGGCTGTCCATAGGTCCCTGTCTGAGGATTGTACCTTAAGTCGTTTAGTCATGTAAATTAAACCAAATTCTTTGGACTGGGGAGTCGAATCAGGTGGCCAGCGTTTCTTTGCCAAAACATCCATTCGGTATGGTCCAAACTGCCATATGAGGCTGCCTAGTTTTTTTGTTGACCTTGTAGGGCTTCTACAAGTCAACTGCTTATATATGGGCATCCTGGGCGAACGCAGGTGCATCTTTGTTTGGCCTACTAGGCAATAAAGTGGGAATCTACACTCCATGCATGGAATCATCATTGAATTGGATATAGTCCCTTGGATGGCCATTTTACTCTACAAACAGGCGGTTTTCCACTTCCTTGATTACTCAGGGAGTCCGGGAGTGTATATCCATACACTCGTCGGGAGATTCAATGAGATGCATGTCTCTGAAGATGCACAGCTGTCAGTCGATGTGGCGCATGCGATGCCCAAGTGCTATTCAAGGGGTCATCTTCATCAACTCCCTCGTTCTCGCGGATGTCCTGCGTGAAAAGAAGCGAGCGTGGACTGGACCTTCAGTTTGAACATTGAACATCCATGACAAAAGAACAGCATCGACAAACAAACAAGCACTGACCAACCCCCAAATGCTTTAAGGGGGTTAGCCCCCCAGAAAGCTCCGACCCAAAGATCCCAAACCAATAGAGTCCAGAAAAATAGGGAACACCGAACACTCACGCTGAGACCACCACCACAACAACAACGACTACTGCTGCTACTACTACAACCACTACCACTACGACTACAACGACGGCTACTACTAATGCTATACTGCCACCACAAGCCTACCACCACCACCACCACCACCACTGCTGCTGCTACTACCACCACCACCACTGCCACTACTACCACCACTACTACATACTCCTACACGATGCGCCTTAAAGGTCTTCTTGCCCTGGCGTGCCGCCGCGCGCTGCGCCCGCAGGATCTCGAAGTTGCTCTCCGCTTCGACGGAGTGGCCATCCAGCTCCTGCAGGCGCCTGACGTTCACGTGAAACCACGCCATGCGGCGTGGGCAGTGGATGGAAGTGTGTTCGGAATAAACACCATGGCCACCAACGGACCAAATGGAACTATAATGCTTATATTGAACGTTTGGCCCACATGTACAGTAACTGTTCCGTTCTCTTTTTTCACGTCGGCCGTCGCCAGATTCCAGGAGCCTCCAACGTCACCGTCGGCCGAACGGACCTCGGGACCAGGTCGATCCTACCAGGGCCCAGTGGATCGGACGGTTGCAAATGAGAGGACCGAGCGAGAAAACGTGGCGATGACCAGTGACGTGGTAAGGAAGGTGGGCCATCTTGAGGCACTCTGTTGGACACCCAAAGCTAGAGCCACTAAGAACGCTGGTGTCCAACAGGAGGTACCATTCTAACGAGCTTGGGGAGATGGTAGCCCAAGTTTACTAAGGAAGTTGGGGAACTCGGCTTTCCC